GTCTGTATGTGGGATCCGAACCCTCAGGCGGGAGCGCCGCCACGCTTCCCAAGCAGCGCACTATCCAGTGCGCCACCGGGCCGGCCCCTCAAGGGCTTGTTTTAAATAACTTGTCAAGATTATGATTAAATACAGATCTTTTTGACTAAGTAAAAAATTTTATATGTTAAGGTAGCTGGCACATAGTGGAAGCTCCATCTTCCTTTCTCTTCAGTTACCTACGTTAACACATCACTCCATTATTCCTTTACCTTGTTAGTATACAGTTAGTATTCTCAGTAGACATATAGGCAAACTCTTACTTAGTGCACTTCTGAAAACTTGAAAGTACAATGTTATTCAGCAGAGTCTCAACTGTAAAGGGGTACCTGTTTCCAGAGCATTACATTATAAAATCCTGAAATTACGACTGGAGCAGGCCCACCAGAGGCATTTCAGTGAACTGTTGAGATTTCTAAGGTCCTCAAGTTCAGGGTAGGAGGTACTTATCTATCATCCTCTGAGAAAACACCAAACCACTCCTCCTCTGTACCCAATGCAGGGATGAACCCCACTCATTAAACCACCACACGGTTATCTTCTAGCCTGCCAGAGCAGGGAGTAGAAGGTTTTTCTCCCTGCCATCACAGCACAAGCAAATTAGAACTTCAGCCAGCCAGCCAACTAGCCAGCTACCCCCACCTCCACCCTGTTTATGAGGCCTCTCAACTGGCTTTCTGCTAAAACCCACCATTGTTCACTGCTCTAGGGGAGCATGGATGGATGATGGTCAGGTCTGGAGATTAGGACAAGCAGGGGATAATTTTCAGAGACTAAATTCCTGATCTCAGCTACCCCTTAGTATTTTGGGAGCTCAGAGACAACTTTAGCTCCAGGCTAATACTGCCAAGTAACAGGCCTGGGTCTGCTATCACAAACATACCCTACCAGCGTGGCAGGAAGTGACACTATGTCATGGCTCAAAATCATTCACAAGTGATGTAGGAGCTGGCGGGTTAGCTCATTTGGTTAGAGCACTGTGTTATAACACCAAGATCAAGGGTTTGGATCCCAGTAACAGCCAGCTGCCAAAAAAAAAAAAAAAAGGTGATATAAAAACCAAATTTAGAGATTGAAAGGTGGTTCAGAAGTATCAATGTCTAACTTGTTAACATTAGGTTGTATAAAGGTAACAAAGTTGAAGAAGGCCTGTACATAGACTTTCTCAAATCATAATGTAAGTTTTCAGAGGACAAGAAGCAGATCTCTATTTTTAAGCAATCTCTATGGAGGATCCAATAACATGCTTTATTCACTGGGCCTTACTGCTGCTGAGTGGAGAAAAAATGATCAAGCTCTCAGAGGCAAGGCCACAGTGGTTCCAGCATATCTTCTTGCAGGCCCCGCTTAATTAATCAATAAGTATGGTAACTATGAAAGGCAGAAATGATATCTAAGAGACAGAATTAAGGCCAGAAAGATGAAGCCACTCTAATATACCACAAGGTGACAATGTTTGAATACTGGTAACCTGGAGTAGTAGAAAGCTTGACAGACAGCTCTGTTTATTTCCTTTTTTAACACCACGCTTAGGGCTGCAGCCTGGGAGAGAAGAGGTGGGTCAGCTGCCTCTGCCTCCCTTCTGCATTCTCCTACAGGGGTTAGAGCCAACTCTCCTTATACTAGTAGTATGGCTGTTGGTGACCAAGGGTAGAGGGAACAAATGGCAGGAGAGAAAGCAGAGCAGATGATCTTCCCAAAGTGGTCAGATACCCCAGCAGTCAGAGTAACATACATAGGAGTGCCTGCTGGGGAGAGGTAGTGGTGGTGGGAACCTCCACCTGGAATCTCTTTGACTGCATATAGGGCAGTGGTTCTCAAACTCTAGTAGCATCAGAATCACATGTAGGCTCTTGTTAAAAGACTGCTGGGCTCCAACCCCAATTTCCAATTCAGAAGATCTAAAGTATAGGGTCCCATAATTTGCATTTTAATCAAGTTCTTTTTTTTTTTTTAAAGATGACCCGTAAGGGGATCTTAACCCTTGACTTGGTGTTGTCAGCACCACGCTCACCCAGTGAGCAAACCGGCCATCCCTATATGGGATCCGAACCCGTAATAACTTCGTATAGCATACATTATACGAAGTTATACGAAGAATCCAATCTTTTGAAGGAATTTCTTACTCCATGCTTTTCTTTGCTACAATCCGAGTTTCCTCCATTTTTACTCTCTCCGTCTCTCCAACTGGCCCCCATCCCACCCTGTTCTACCCAAACTACTCACATCAGCGCTAGTCTCCCAACTCTGTCCCCTTCCCGCCCCCGCCCTTTTCTTCTCAACAATTTCATTCCAACCTTTTCTCCCACAGAACCGTGTACTTTTCTCAACCCCTTCCCTCTGAACTCTCCTGCCTCGCTTAATCAAGTTCTAAAGTGATGATGCTGAAGGGTATTTCTGGCTCCGTGCCCCTCTTTCTATCAACACTCCCCCATTTTCTCTTTCCTACCACTCATCTACTGCTTTATTTCTTCTCTACCATCCCTCTCTTAGTCTCCTTTAGGAAAACTAAAGGAAAGACAGAAAATAGGAATGAATATTGGGTTAGATTTGTCTTAAACATTCCTTTGGGCAAGGATTCAGCACTCTATTCTGGTTGATAGGTGTTTCAGAAGCAGAATTTATTCCAAACACATACATGCTTCCTCTCCCCCTTTTATTTTTTTTGGCAGTTGGCCACTTTGGGGATCCAAACTCATGACCCTGATGTTAGAAGGCTGTGCTCTAATCAAATGAGCTCTCTCCTTTTTACCTAACAGTTGGGGAGTAGTTCAGTAGAGTAACAGATGATTTTCCAGTAAGATTTTGCCTTGTAGGAAATGGTAGGTAATATTCCACTACATTTTAGAAAATTTCCTCATCTCTCCTAGACTTTTAAAATTTTTATTGTAGTAACATACACATTTACCATTTTAACCATTTAAGTGTACAGTTTAGTGGCACTAAGTACATTCACATTTTTGTGGAACCATCACCACCACCATCTCCAGAACTTTTTCATCGTCCCAAACTGAAACTCTATACCCATTAAACAGTAACTCGCCATTGCTTGCCTCCCTCCCCAGCTTCTGGCAACCACCATTCTACTCCTAGACTACTTTTGGACTCAGTTTCACTTAATAAAAGAGAGGGTCCATTGCTGACTCATGGGATTGCTTCTATATATGTAAGCCTTCTTGCATACATGTGATTAAGTTTATTGTATTAAGAGAAAGGTAACAGAAAATGGGGTTGAAGAAAGAAAGAGGTGAAGACACAAACTAGATGAGGGTTTTCATACTGGGAGTCCTATCCACAGGCCTCAGCAGCCCTGCCATGGATCTGCCCGATTCTTTCGCATCAAGAAGTTGATCTTGCGAGCCATTTCCATGTTGTAGATCCGCCGACAGGTTTCATAGCTTTCCCGCTGTCGCCGGCGGCAAGGCTTCTCATAGTACCGCCGTCGTTTAATGTCCTCAATAAGCCCATCCACACTGAGAATTCTGTATAAAGACAGGCAATGAGGTTAGAAACTTGAGCTCATTATTATTCTTTTCCAGTTTCATAGACACTCAGAAGTCAAGTGGCCAAACAACTGGTGTGTGTAAAAATGAATGGGAAATGGTGGCAATAACAGCATTAATCTACTTACAGAGGCCCCAGTAAGAATTTGTGGGGAAATAAAAAATCAATTAATTACATGGTCCTTACTCTTAGAGATTTTACATTCAGGAAAATATTCTCAAACTTTTTTCTACCACAACACTTCTGAGGGATATGACACAGTCCCATAAAAACAGTGGCTCCCAATGGCAGTGATTCTCAACCAAGGGGGCATTTCAAACTTCACAAGGGGCGAGCCATTTGTAGTTGAAAAAAAATCACCAGAGGTGATTCCTACTTGGTCCTTAGAGGAGAATGTAGTTCCATCCTTACTGTGTTTAAGAACTGATACAGGTGAAGTCTGTAGGTCTGAGAAATCTCTGGGCCAACCTAAATATGAGGGTACTTCAAATAGTTTGAGAAAAATAGAATTGGAAGATAATATAAATCTTTCCACAAACTTTTTTCTTTTTTTAATTCATTTTCTTTTATTTTATATATATTTTTTTCCCACAATTTTTTTTAAGATCCTTTATACAGGGAAAGAGGTGTCCCTTATCACACCAGCGATACACATGGGAGCATTAAAATAACAGCCTCGGGCCGGCCCAGTGGCTCACTCGGGAGAGTGCGGTGCTGATAACACCAAGGCCCCGGGTTCGGATCCCATATAGGGATGGCCGGTTCGCTCACTGGCTGGGCGTGGTGCTGACAACACCAAGTCAAGGGTTAAGATCCCCTTACCGGTCATCTTTAAAAAAAAAGATAAAATAACAGCCTCACCCATCATTTTTCCATGTATCGCATGCTCCAACCACACTATTTTGCTGACTCTCCCTGAACACACTAATACTCATGCTGTTTCCTAAGCCTTGAATGCCACCCCAACTAGTAGCAGTCAACATTCTCACTGAAATTTTTCTTATCTTTTTGATGCCAAGCCCAGATGTCAACTCTCTACAAAGTTTTTCCCAACTTCTTAATAAAAGAAAATCACTAGACTAAAAATCCCTGAAAAACAGAAACCATATTTTATTAATGTTAAAAATAATATTTTATAAATGTCTGTAAAATTGAGCTCAACCTATTTCTTTACTGCTCACCCAATTCCCTGTGATGCAACTTCTCCTGTTGGATTGATAACTCTAACTCAAACTCAGCTCTTTGTTCTCACTGAGCCAAGAAGACACTGGGGTTATTCTATAACCAACCTAATTCCTAGACTCTTGAGAGCTCTGGCTCCAATCTGCAATTTCTTTTCCTCTCAACTCATCATCAGTTGGTCCCGAGGAGGTCTAGAGGCATCTTCTGCTATTGCCCTCCATTCCTGCTTACCCTGTCCTTTCATTACATGCAAAAAGTAAGTCACAAACACAACTGGAGATAAGGAAGCTGAAATATATTATGATTGGAAGAAGGGGTCAGAAAAAGAAAAAAATAAAAATAAGAAAAGCTATCAGCTACTTATGCCCAGTGGTAAACCCCATTTATTGTTGTTATGTGTCACCATAAAGCCCAAAATAACAGACTAAACATGAACTTGAAAAGAATTGGGCTTTGGGTAAATTAGAAATATGAATAGACATGTGAACCACTGTCCTGTGGGATCCTCTCCCAGGCTCCCGCTGTTTAACATCAAGAATGATTTGTAGGCTACTAGAGAATCCTATTTGTATAGATCAGTTTGCTTAGGTTTTAGGGGCAGAGAGATGGGAAGCAAGGCAATTGCTGCAAACTCCCAAAAGTGAGAGAAGCAGATTAATGCAGGTTCTGTTGGAAACATCAGTATAGTCATGCTCTAGTCTAAGACTAGAATCTTTTTTTTTTCCTTTTTGTCTTTTTTTCATGACCGGCAACGGATCGCAACCCTCGGTGTCGCGCCCGTACTGGACCGGCACCAGCAACGGGATCGCAACCCTCGGTGTCGCGCCCGTACTGGACCGGCACCAGCAACGGGATCGCAACCCTCGGTGTCGCGCCCGTACTGGACCGGCACCAGCAACGGGATCGCAACCCTCGGTGTCGCGCCCGTACTGGACCGGCACCAGCAACGGGATCGCAACCCTCGGTGTCGCGCCCGTACTGGACCGGCACCAGCAACGGGATCGCAACCCTCGGTGTCGCGCCCGTACTGGACCGGCACCAGCAACGGGATCGCAACCCTCGGTGTCGCGCCCGTACTGGACCGGCACCAGCAACGGGATCGCAACCCTCGGTGTCGCGCCCGTACTGGACCGGCACCAGCAACGGGATCGCAACCCTCGGTGTCGCGCCCGTACTGGACCGGCACCAGCAACGGGATCGCAACCCTCGGTGTCGCGCCCGTACTGGACCGGCACCAGCAACGGGATCGCAACCCTCGGTGTTGCACCCGCACCTCGCTCAGCCAGTGAGCAGCCGGTCTGTACATGGGATCCGAACCCTCGGCGGGAGCGCCATCGCGCTCCCAAGCGGCGCACTGTAGCAGTGCGCCACCGGGCCGGCCCTAAGACTAGAATCTTATAATAGAGAAGTAGGGCACCAAAGACGAGAAGACTCAGTATCCTGATCCACAAAGGGTCTCCTTCACTGGCCTTCTCCCTCAATTTACCCTTACATGTTGGTATCCCTCCAGATTCTGACTGTAAACATCCTCCTTTCTGGCTCTACATGTTTCTCTTAACCTTTACTACTGGGCCTCAACCTCAATGCACAATGAAATCACCTCCTAAAGAGTTTGTAAAAGGTACTGATGCCCAGCCTCCCCTCCACACAGATTATGATTTAATTAGTCTACAGTGGGGCCATGTACTGGGAATGTTTTAAAAGTTTCTCAGGTGTTTCTAATGTGGAACAATGATGGGGAACAACTGACCCAAAAATGTTGACTCCTAAATCCCTATCTCTAGCCCTGATCTTATCTTAGAGGTACACTAGTACTTCCAACTGCCTCAAACCCTACAGAAAACAGAATTTGTTGTCTCCTCCCCAAATTTATCCGACAATATTCTATATTTCTGTACAAAAATTACAACAGAGTATGATAGGTGCAAAGATAAGGGAAACATTGCTATAGAAGCAGACAGAGGCATTTAACCTGGACCTGACAATGAGAAGGTGGTTATGAAGGCTTCCTAAAGGACAATTTATTTGAAATGTGAAAGGTAAGGAGGATGCCCTATTTTCATTCTTTCCCTACGCCAATTATTGTCCTAAAACATAAATCAGATCATTTCATTCTGGCACTAAAAAAACATTTCCTAACACACAGAATAGTCTAAGCCAGTGGTTCCCAGACTTGTCTGCACATTAGAATCACCTGGGGAATCTCTTAAAGATTCCAAACCCTAGGCCACGCCCCAGACTAATTAAATCAGAAGGAGAAGGGGAAGGGGAACGGGAAGAGATATGTGCAGTTTTTTTTTTGTTTTTTGTTTTTAAGTTTCCCTGGTAATTCCAATATGCAGACAAATTTGGGAACAACTAGTCTAAGCTCAAAGCCGAAAGCCCAAACTATTGAGCTTCACCCTATCTTTAATGACTTGCCCTGTAAAGCCTATGCTCTAGTCATACTAAAGGAATGTGCAGTTCTCCAAGCACTGTACATTTAATTTTTACCTTTCCTCACGATGTTCCTTTTACATGAAATATTCTTCTTTTTGCCCTGTAAAGCCTATGCTCTAGTCATACTAAAGGAATGTGCAGTTCTCCAAGTACTGTACATTTAATTTTTACCTTTCCTCACGATGTTCCTTTTACATGAAATATTCTTCTTTTTCTGCCTGATGAAATCCTATTTGTTCCTCAAAAGCCCAAATTGTTATCATGTCTGCAAACTAGTCCAGGTTAAAGCAATCATTCCTTCCCTCCATTCCCAAAGCACAGTGATTTTCAAATTTTATTTATTTATTTTTATTTTTTATTAAAAGATAACCAGTAACGGGATCTTAACCCTTGACTTGGTGTTATCAGCACCATACTCTCCCGAGTGAGCCACGGACTGGCCTGATTTTCAAATTTTAGCATGCGTTGTCACCTGGAAAGACTGTTAAAACACAGACTGTTATGACACCTCCAGTTTCTCATTCTGCAGGTCTAGGGTGGGAGCCAACAATATGCATTTCTAACAAGTTCCCAGGTGATGTTAATGCTGATGGTCTAGGGAGAACCAATGCCACAGCACACTGTTAATGCCTCTTTTATAGCACCGATCAGACAGTATTATATTTAACCATAAAAAAAAAATTCCCTTAATGGGTTGTGTGCTTTCTAAGGTTAGAGATCAAAACTATTCATCTTTACATCTAACAATGCTTGGCAAAAGCAAATTATCAGTAAATGTATGACAAAACTGAGTCCTCTGGATGACTGACAAATGCCCACAGCACAAGGGGTTAAGTGACTTTATGATATGTACAGTTCTTGGGGACATTAACTCATAAAGCCTCAATAATATTACTTTTACCAAGATGGCACATTAGAGTTTAGATAGCATTTTTACATTCATGATCCTATGAAATTGATTAGGTAGGTAATGTCATCTTTTTATAGATTAGGAAACTAAAGTTCAGAGAGGCTGACCTGCCCAAGATCATAAAACAGAGCTAGAAGTAGAATTCAGGTCTTTAATGCAGTGCTCTACAACAGTACTTTGCTTCTCAAACAAGTTCAGAAGAATTCACCATCCATGGGCAAAAGAGACAATGAACAAGGAAAGAGCTGGTCTAGATTCTTCAACTGGAGGAAAAGAGGAAATGGAAGACAAGATGACATGGCACTGAGGGAAAGGAATATTCTTAACATCTAAGCATTTATTTCTGTCTTAACCTGTGTTCACTACTGTTTAATGAAGGTCACTTTTCGAATTAGAGACTAGTATATTGGAGAAAATTGTGGAATATACTATAGAGCATATGTACTT